GTTCAAAGGACGCAATATATGCCTCTCGCCTTGATGGTAATGTGCCAGTTTTCCAAGAAACAGTCGAGTTCACTGATTACGCAGCTCCCGCTTCATCTAGTGCAGCAGGGCCCTCTGAGGTACCGCTTGAAGGTGATGATCCCAAGCCTCCTGAGGCCGAGCCCGGTGAGGCACATGCGGACTCAGAGCGTGAAGAAGAAATCCCAGCTGTTAAGACGGCGCGGTTGATCAAGGATGCTGCTTCTTGTGAACACAGATTAGCCCATTTCCCTAAGAACCCAGCCTGTAAAATATGTACACAGGCCAGAATGTACGCTAGGAAGACAAGCAAACTTAGACATGACCCGCTGCATGATCGCGGTTCGCTAGAGCCAACCACTGCGTTCAGTGAACGCGTCGCGGCGGACATCGTAGTCGTGTTCAAGGAGTCTTCCAAAGAGGATCGTGAATCGACCTTGCTTGTAGTGCGCGATGAATTCTCTGGCTACTTGCGCTCCTTTCCCCTAGTCAGGCGCACAACAGAAAACGTAGTCAGAGCACTTTTGCAATTTTCCGGTAAGCACGCGGAGTCTACGCCTGTTGTTATGTTCAAGTCAGACGACGCGAAAGAACTTGAATCGGCTTGCCAGCAAATGTCTTGGGTCTCCGAGCCCACATTAGCTAACCGTTGGCCGCATAATTCTGTTCTCGAGCGGGACATCAGGTCGATCCAAGAGGTCACCCGCGCGGTACACTTACAAGCCGGTTTTGCAATAAGACCTGGTCTTTGGGCTCATTCGGCGGTATTTGCAACGTTTGTGTTGAACCTTAAGCACAGCATTGCCGACCGTAAGGAGTCCCGTTATGTAGCCGCCACCGGTGAGGAGTTCCCCGGGCGTCTTCTACTTCTAGGTCAGCTCGTGTACTACAGGACTGATCCCAAACACCGAGAGAAGTTTGAACCTTCCGCCGCACCAGCTTTGTTTTGTGGTTATCGGTTAGATTCGGGGCCGGAGTCCTTTAGAGGGGTCTACCTTGTTTTAGATTACCGGAAAACCAAAGACGGTACTCCTGGATACGATCTTGCAATTTCGGTGCCCTTTGAAGAGTTGTTTGTCCCCGAGGGTGAAGAGATTTTCCCGATGCGCGCCGCTTTCGAGCGTGCGGTCGAGGGATTCACTGAACCTAAGTTTCCGGACATTAAGGGTTTAGAAGTGCCGTTCAGCCCACTTGGCCCCGACTCTACGCCAGCAAAACGGCACGAGTATATCACTCTTGATCGTATAATAAAATACGGGATAACCCCGGGATGCAAGGCTTGCAAAGGCGAAGCTGTGGTTCATTCTCCAGTGTGCAAGGTTCGCTTTGATGGGTTAGTGCGTGCCGACAAAACCGCAGAGGCCCGCATCAAATCGGTACCCCCGACACCAGTCAGTATTCCTCCAACGCCAGTTCCTCCTCCTGCACCTCTTAGTCCCGATCCTCCGGCAGAGATAGCGCCCGATGCTGCAGATGATGCGCCCGCTCATCCGGACGAGGGTTCTGACGACTTTGGTGGAGGGATAGGAGCATTGGTAAATCAGGAGTTGTTCGTTCCAGATGTTAGCTTTGTAGCCCGAGATCGCCAGATCCGTAGGTATAAGGCTTCGAGTACAAACCAACTTGTCGAGTACTGCTGCAGCGACTCCTCCGAGATTGGTTTTGCCTGCACAATGTACGGGGTTGATTGTCAGATAAAGCAAGGCGCTGTGATCTGGATGCCTATGTTATGCCTTGAACAAACAGCACAACAACACCCAACTGTGCACGAGCATAGGGCGAGTAAGAAAGCACAGCTCAGAAAGAGCCGGGCGAAGTGTCGCCAAATGCTGAAACTCGCAATCTCGCTAGCCGAAGAAAAGCTTTCCAACGGCTGCCATGTTGCAGTCGACTGCCCTGAAGGGGGTTGGCTCTGGAACGAATCTGATTGGATTGAGTTCGAGAAGCGCACGAACTTGAAAAGAGTAATGCTCAGCGGATGCTCCTCTGGTAAGCGGTCATGCATCAGCACCACTTCCCTTCGAGTGCTCCAGCTGTTTGGGCAACACGAGCACAGCCAGTCCACTTCGCAAAGTGTGTCGAAAGGAGGCGATTCCTATGCCAATAGCGACTACAACTCACAAGTCGCTCAGCTGATCGTCGAGTCATTCTTCCCCGAGCACTTCCATCGCCACACACCTTCGTTGTCGTCAAGTAATGCGTTAGTGACACGCAACCTTGCTAAGAGCGAATGGTTGAAGGATGCTCGAGGTTTAGAGGCTGTTCAGGCTGAGGGTGTAGGACTCCGCTCAAACCAGACATGGAGCGACGATTCTGTAATGCATTTGTGGCAACTGAAACAGGATTGCCGCAACACTGGACGCCGAGTCCAAATCGCTGAACTTCTGACGCTTTGTGGTGTAAAGCACTTTGAGTTGCACCCAACACAGCACAAGTACAAAGGCCGTGTAGTCTTTAGGGGGGACCAAGTGCGCGACGCTTCTGGTAACCCAGTGCTGTTCGGCCCAGAAGAAACTGCGACTACACCAACCGGGTTGGTAGGTCTTGCCGCTTGCCTCTTTTACGGGCTCCGCCCCGGTCACGCGACCTCTGTGGCAGATGCTATCCAAACATACTTGCAAGCGAAGATCGGTCGAGAGACCTGGGTAATAATCCCTCAGGAGCTCTGGCTCCCCGAGTGGACCCAGAGGTTCCCTCCCGACAGCCGTCTTGTAGTTAAACTTGAGAAAAGCCTATACGGGCACCCAGAATCGGGTAAGAGATGGCAAGACCACTTAACCGTTCAGTTGAAAAGGCTCGGAGGTCGCGAACTTCCCGCCTACCCTAGCACTTGGGTTTTCGAGTTCGGATCCCAGAAGCTAGTGCTTAATCTCTACGTCGACGACTTGACTTTAAGCGGACCCGTAGAGCTTCATTCCCAGTTCTGGCATAAGCTCCGTGGTCTTGTGAAACTTGAACCAGAAGTCTTCGTTCAAGGCGGCAATAATGGTTGTAGGATTCTAGGGCGGCATCACAGTTTCACGCGTGATGACTCAGTAGCCACTTGTGAATTTGACATGATTGCTTACACGCAGCAATTTGTTGATTTCTATTGTGAAATGACCGGTGTAGAGAAAAGTAAGCTTCGCAAGGTAGCGTCACCTGCTTTCCCCGAGAACCAAGCAACTGACAGCGAGCTTAACAGCACCGGTGAGTTACACGGATCCGCCTCCCGCGTCCTGATGCGAGCCCTCTGGCTCAGCCGACTTGCTCGCCCAGACATCTCGTTCATAATCACGAGGTTAGCTTCTAAAGTGAGTCGATGGGATAGATTCGACGACCGTCAACTACTGCGTTGTGTGTCGTATCTCCATCACTCAAGTCGTGTAACTTTGAAAGGGTCTGTTTCGCAACAGGACTTGGGTTGCCAGATAGAGGTGTATACAGACGCAGGCTTTGCGTCTTGCCCTTTGTCAGCGAAAAGCACGACTGGAATCCTCGTAGTTGCAAAGACCGGAGACTGCGCGTATCCGCTTCACTGGGTATCGCGTAAACAGTCCTCCACAGCCCGGTCCACGACAGAGGCCGAAACGATCTCTCTCGCGACCGCCATGTTCTCAGAGGTAGAAAACCTTCAAGAATATTTAGGCGACATCCTTGGGTTCGAGATCCCGGTGTTTTATAGGCAAGACAATAATACCGTGATTTCTATTCTTAAGGCGGGCTATTCCGCTAAACTCCGCCACATGCCTAGGGTGCACAGGGTCAACGTAGCGTCTATCTGTGAAAGACTCGCAGAGCCGCACGTCGAGATAACCTTTTGCCCTACGACGGAGCAACGAGCGAATGGATTCACGAAAGTGATTAGCCCCCAAGAGTGGCCATCCATGCTGGAACAGCTTTGCCTGTCTGAGGGTTCCGCAAATGCCCCGATACCTGCTGCTCCATCACAGAACTTCGTTCCTGAAGATCCTCTTGCAGATACTGATCCTGAGTCTGTTGCCGGCATCCTGCCACACAGACTGACAGAACATCATATTCTGCAGCTGTTCCACCTTCTTCCTCCAGATTCTTCGTGTCGCCCAGTTGTCTCTTCCGAGGGTAAGGGATTTACAACCGGAGCGTATGCACATGGAGGTGGCATAGTAGGGTTAAGGAGTAATACGTCTAAGTTCAGGGGGTTACGCGTGTCCTCACAAGGTTCGTTCGGCAACAGGCCAAGAACCTAACATTCACTGCTGTAGCAATTTACCAAGGTTGTCAGTTTGACCTGCACACTGACAAGTACAATGATCCGGGATCGTACAACTTCGTCTACCCGTTAACCAAGGTAAAGGGTGGTCAGATATGGGTCCAGGATCCACTTGGTGAGCAGCAATGCCCACAGCGTGATTGCAATAGCCCAGGGCGCATTCAAGAACTGCCTGCACTCTTCCAGCCGTCTGTTAGACACTGCACTGTGCCGTGGGAAGGGCCACTTCAGTCCCGCGTTGTGCTAGTAGCGTTTACGCCTCGAGCACCAGCTGAACTGAAACCGCCTGAAGCGCAGTTGCTAGATGAGTTAGGTTTCCGAGTGCCTCGCAGTAGAACTAGTTTCATGTAAGTAACTGTTTCACGCTGTCTACAAGGGGGGAGTTGAGAAAACACGAGCCCCCAGGCCCTTCTTATGTAGATCATCTTGAAGCAGTTTCACTCGAAGACGTTATCACCGATATTTGGCTCAAGACACAAAAGAAGCGTTATCATCACTGTGTCTTGGAATCAGAGATTGCCCTGCAATTAACTTAGACGCCCTTTTATTTGTAACGTCGTTGGCTCCCTTTCAACAAGGTGTGGGATTCAGAATCATGTGACAATTCGGGCTTCGAAAGCATGTATGCTCACGTTTGAAGCCCTGATCTCATTGAAGGTTTTGCTCCAAATCGCAGCCTCCTAAGTGGACACCAGCGAAGCTTTCATGCTCCAACTTTCCGAGCTCTCACAACTCGAAACGGTCGAACAAGGAGATTGCCAGCTTCTACTCATCCGGCATCCCAGCGCGGCGCCCGAATTCCATGAACAACTATGGCAGCTCGGCTAAGCTCGGCTACTCGCCAGCTTCTCGGACGGGTTTCCACTAGGGCCTTCACAACGCCCGGAAAAGGAGGAAAGGGCACTGGGCAAGGTCTGAGAATGTCTACGGACGCTCCGAAACTTTGCAAGACGAAGGCGGCCTCAACGAGTCCACAAGGTTTCAAACCAACTTCTCGACAGCTGACTCTGGGATAGAGCATCAGGGCACAAGAAGATGTGAAGAAGAAATGCAGCCATGCCTCTTGACAGACTAATCAGTGACTAATCCTGCAGAGCCTTCCCGACTCCAGCGGTTGGCTGCTGGAGCCGGGCTCTGTGCGAGCGTGAGCCGCGCTCTCGCCTGGACCCGGGCCCGGGGTAGTCTCGGAGTTTTGGTATTGTGGGTCACAGAATGGCGGGATGCTGATTGTTCCACCAGACATTGCCAGACAACCAAGCAACATGTAGTTCGTTGGCCGCATCGCACCAGTTATGATATCACAAGCCGGAAGAGGCGATTCGCGTGGAACTTGCCTTGCTGCCCAACAGCGCCGACCGTCATCTCGGATTCGTTGCCCCAGGTGTCATCGTGAACGAGATCGGAATGCGACCAATGATCACAGAGTTCCAGCAAAAGTATATTTGGCCAGTTGTAGCCTGGCAACATGTATCTAGTACTGGGTTCTCACTCACTCACTCTCAGTCTCATTCGCTCTCTCTCGCTCTCTCTCTCTCTCTCTCTCTCTCTCTCTCTCTCTCTCCCCCTCTCTCTCTCTCTCTCCCCTCGCTCTCCCTCTCCTCCCTGTCTCTCTCTCCCTCTCTCTCTCTCTCTCTCTCTCTCTCTCTCTCTCTCTCTCTCTCTCTCTCTCTCTCTCTCTCTCTCTCTCTCTCTCTCTCTCTCTCTCTCTCTCCATATGTGCGAGAGACTGGACCTGGATGTCAAGACCTGAGAAACGGCGCTTCGCTTGAGGCCAAAGTGTTGTTTCCCGAGCAGGCCCGGCCCAGGAGCTGGGAAGTCCACTGGGGGAGTCTACGAGGGGAGTCCTGGGGAGGCATCGCAGTTCGATGACCACCACTCCTTCATTGTGCGATATACTGCTTCTGAAGATTTGGGTTTGGACATGCACACCGACGACTCTGCAGCTCGTCTCGATATCCAGTGGGTCCACTGCTCTTGAAGAAGCCACTTGTCCTGTTGCTTCTCCGTTGCAGCTGTTTCTCTGAGGACGTTACCTTCAACGTTTGCTTAGGCCAGCTCACCAGGATTCGTTATGAAATCGTAAGCTCAGAGCTCTCTTTGCAGTCATAAACAGTTCCAACCTTCTGCAGTTGGCCTCTCGTGGGCTGCCGGAGGCCATGAATTTACTGGAGCTACGTTGACATTCTGCGGCTACATGGGTGCACCTGATCACCGTAAGGCGAAGAGTTTTCCCGATGCTTTGAATCTGCTTCAAGCCGTTGAAGAGAGGAGTTGTCCTTGGCAGGCCTCCCACGTTTACTCTCACGAGGTGAGGTGACTGATCTTCGCACGTCATCCTGCTCACTACGATTTGTTTGTGCAGAGAGAAGTTCTTGTTGACTGCAGGTGGGGAGGGCAGTGTTGCATTTGGGCAGTCGACGGCACGGGGCTGATGACATCGCCTCTGGCACACGGATGAATTTGATAATTTGGTCACATGGCCGCAAGTGCTTTCTTGCAGCGTTGTATCACTGTCCATCTATGCGCTGTGACGGCGCAATGCAGCTTGAGTTGAATTTCAACAAGGTCCCACAATAAGGCATGGCGGCGGATGCACAAACTTCGACTGAGCGAAGACTACGAGTGTGCCACCTACGAGTGCTGATCTGCGCTGTAGAAGAGCATCCATTGCTGAGGAAAGAGGAAGGGCCACCAGATCCGGTCTGTCTGAGCAACTTAGCGGAGTTCTCTTGAAGAAACCTCAAGCACAAGATGCAGCTTTGCAGCTTCTCTGGCTTCTCTGGCTACAGGCTACACCCATGATCGGGACTACCTGGCCTTCAAGAAGAAGCCGGTTGGACGGGCGGCGGGGCGCAATCGTGCCTGGACACTTGGCACTGAAGCTCAGAGAATGGAGCGACAGCATCCAATGCACTTCGAGTATTCGAAAGCAAAGGTGTCCTCCGAAAGGCATGGAGTACGAGGGCTTCGGCGACAAAGACAAGGATGAAGACATCCTTTGAAGTACACAGATGAATGCCATCATTGCCTGGCTCTAATCATTGTGTTAGGTGTTGTGATCGCAGCAAGTCCTGATTATGTTTCGCTTTTTGTACATGATCTCTTGCGGCGCCTTTGAGTTGTTCTGTCCATTGCGTTGCCGATGTTGACGCATGTGCAGCTTTCACGCTCGTAGCTATGCCAGTCTTCATCTCCCTGGGCAGCCGGCAGCCCATGGCTTCCGGAAAAGACTTCCGCTGTAGATAGTGACTGTGTCGTTTTGGCACAGCTGTTCCTTCGTGCAGTCGGTCATTCTGGATGTAGCTAGGACGAGCGATTGCTTTCCCTCCCAGCTCATTGGACCCAGCGTGGCTGGCGTTGATGATGCGGAAAAGACAGAAGCCTTAATCTGTGGTGAAGACTTTCGAGCTCTGTCAGCCGATGCCTCCTGCAGGCACGAGGACTGCGAGACGATCCGCACTCTGCAGGAGAAGCTCAGTTGTACTGCCTGTTGTGCCTCTGTCCCACACTTGTGGTGCGCAACAGACCAGACAAGATTTTCTGTCTCTAGCTTTCAGCCAAGTTCAGGCATGGTCGTGCAAACTGAAAGTGGATGCTCATCGCAGGAAAACGGCAACAGCACCGAGTGCCACCTGAGCCAGTTGAAGGCCCGATGCAGATGCATCTTAACGCGGGCGTAATTGCGGGCCTCATCTTGCTTCGTCGTCGATATCGAAGGGTAGGTTCCGGAAGGGACCGAAGGGACATATTTTAATCTTCGGCTTGTGAGGTGAAGCTCCGTCCATTGCTGGGAGCCTTCAAGGCCCAGTGCCTGCCCGAAGGAGGCTACGCTCCTCACCAGCGCAGCACTCAGAATCGTGACGGTGACACATAGAGCCGAAGCAGGCTCCCAGCTCTTTAGGAGTGCGCCACTGTCCCAAGGTGCTGGGGATCGACTGGGGAGTGCTGGTGCTCGGATGCAACAGGCGACTCTTCTACGATTTGACCTTGCGGGCCTGCGTCGCTGTACCTGACCGTGCCGTGACACGGTTCTGGTCATGTAGGCCGCCGATAGGTTTTAATGGCCGGTAGTCACATGGCTCTTCCTGGGCCACAGTGCAGGAAAGGTGCTCAACGGCACGCGCGGCCGGCCCGGTCCACCGCCCAAGGACTGCCGGGCGCTGAGCTCCCGCCGCTTCGATTCTGAGCTCTGTCCTGTCCTGTGGAGTCGCTGGGTTTCACTACACCAGACAACGGTTACTTGTAACTCGATGCAGCGGAAAATAGCAGCCCCATACTCGCATTGCAGATAGCACGTTGGCCTACAATCAACATGCCACAGCTCGCAGCAACTTGCAGCTTCACAGAGTGTGCTGATCTAGTAGGTGCACTCTGCAAACCCCCTGCACTGCATAAACCCAGAGGTGTCACCTTCCCCTTCACTTTGCATCATGTTTGATCATTCTGGCAGTGCTCGGACCGTGCCCTGAAATGGAAGCTTGGCATCTGCAGTGCTGTCTTCGTCTCACTAACACATTGGTCACATTGGCCTAGAATCCTAAATTCAGTTGCGCTTGCACAACCCCGAGCTCCACAGGGTAGCGCCGGGCAGGCCAACCTACCCGGTGAGACACCAGATCTGCAGGTTACAGGGGTCGGGGCCCGTCCAAGAACGACAGGACATGGCCTATTGCTTCACAGGCTGCCAAAACACTCTTTCGGCAGGGAGCCAGCTCCAACATACAAAAGCAATTGCCAGAAGATGCTGGAGAGCGACATTTCACCAGCTAGACATGAATCCTCTCGCCAGCAACGCCTGTAAATACAAAGCAAACGTGAATCAAGTTGTAAATTAGCTAACCGAAACCCGCCACGAGCAAGCGTTGCTCAGAGTTGGCGAGACTGGACCGACCAACTGCATGTCCGGGTCATGTCATGTCGAGAGTTTCTCCACCTCGTTCTCTTTCGACGTCTGCGGCGAGGTGATTCTACCTGCGGTCGCTGCACGGCGCCGGCCTCGAAGTCCTGGAGTCTTTGCCGAAGCTGTTTCTCCCTGCACTCAGGCCGAACACCAGCAGAGGGGCATGAACTGTGTTGTGGGAGCTTGCCTTCCTGAGGAAGCAATCAATTTCTAACCGCGATGAAGTTATGGCGTGCTGGGTGCTGTTGAACGTCGTGATTATTCAGGAGATGGCATGAGTGGCATGCCTTAGAGCTCTGGGATTGCAGTGGGACACGGCATCCAGTTCTTGCCTCGTAGGGAACGTAGGAACGTAGAAGAGTGGCTCCGAAGCCTCAGAGTTCATCCCCAGAAAAGGTCACTGCTACAGGTGAGACCCGACCCACATCATGGCCCTTGCAGCATTGGCTGCTTGGTACCAAACGCAACCGGCTGGGGATGACAAGTTGTACTTTAAACCTTAAGCTTCTGCGAACACGGCCCGACAAAAAAGGACTCTGGGTTTAAGGCTTCGTCCCATGATGCTGATGATCCACCCCAACAGGATGTGGCCTGGCCCAATGTCCGCGATGCTGGTCGTGCGCCGTAGAATAGGCAACTCTGCTTCCCCTGAGGCAGGTGTTTCCCCTGAGGCAGGATCTAGGGTCCCAAACGGAGCGATGCTGATGCTGATGATGCCTAATATCCTTTTGATCCACTGCTGCCGGCGCATGCACCTTCCAGAGTGTTTCTTGATTTCTGCACGAGGGCATCGAATCATGTAGGCGTCGAGACCGGCATGAGAGGACACGCTTTGAAAGCGTTGGTGCCCAGAAGCCGATCAGCAGGTTTTGCGAAATCGCAAGCCTTCCCAAATTCCCGGAAGGTGCCTTCGGATGATGAGCCGGATGGCAGTTTCTTGTCATGCTGAACCTGTCATAGTGTTGTATTTGCTGATGTTGATGGTGCCGGCAATGACGAAATTATCACGCGGATGGGCATGCTGGTGAAGACGGTGGTGGCTGTTGCAAGGCCCCCAGCAGTTGGCATTTCGTGTTTTCCACTGTTTGGGGAATCATGACTATTCCATAGCATCTGCTTCCCATATCCAGGGCTTCAACATACGTGTAAGTTTGAATTGGATGAAGCGATTCCGGGCAATTCAGGATCTTGTTGCAATCGCCTCCCGAAGGGGTCCTAACAGCCGATGCATCGTAAGGGATTCGTCGCGTCCTGCTCACGCAAGAAGAGAGCACGGGACGTGCAGTGTGGACCGCGCTAACCACCTGCGGGAACGCCAAGCCTGAGACAACTCTACATTTCAGCATGTGTCAGCAGGGACACCACGAGCCAGTACGATCCGAGCAGCTGTGTGGCACCTGTCTCCTCTGACCGCATGGGAGTGGGAGTATCGCGGGCTCAGCGATACTGAGGCGCAAATCGGCTCATCTATGATGCATAACCGTTCTGTCCGAGCTGGCCAGGTCGAGGGCAGATGGGGTGAGCCCTTCCAGCCCGGTCTTAGTCGTAACAGCTTGCTCTGATGACTCCTTGCAATTTTCGGCGGGCTTGCGCAGTACCACAGCTCAGACTCTTGCTGGAACATGCCTTTACGTCCAGCTTGCCAAATTTCATGTTGTCAGTATGTTGTCCAAGCCACCGCCGCCCCGCAGACGTTATTCATCGGTTCAAAGCTGGCAAGCCACACGTTCTGCAGATGTGGCCTTAAGGGTCCCGTCTTCAGGAGGAGGTGCCCCATTCAAAGCCGTGAGCCTTAATTGAATGCTTTGAAACTAGACCCTACGCCTGGCACAGGTGGCTGCAACGAGGCTGACCGTCGATGCCGCAGGGAGATGAGAAAGAGACAGACGCAGCTCCTTCGGAGTGGTTCTGATAGAGTTTTGTCACAACGTGCTGATGGATTGCAAGCTGTGTCTCCCTGAGCGTCTCAGGTCAACATGTGGTCTCCGGACAAGGATCGAAATGAGAAAGCGCAGCATGGAGACACAAGGCCCGGCTTCCGGGCCATTGGTGGAGACGCCCTATCCGGAACGGTCAGACGCTTCATCCGTGCTGTGGCGAGTTAAGTTCAAGCTGGCCTTGCTCAGGCAAGGATTTGAGAGGAAGTCAACAGTCGAGGACTTGCAAGACAAGCTGCAAATGGTCACTGGCCTCGGATCAGTGGAAGCCATGGCATGCAATTGAACGGATGCTTTTGCCCGGAAGCTCTCGAGGCCTTGTCTGCTTTGGACGAGACCAAAGGATTTGGCTCGGGGGCAGTCAGAAGGCTTCTTGCAAACATCCAACGCTCTGTTCGCAGGAGCCTTGGATGCTGCGCAGAAGCGCGTTTCCGAGCTCGAGTCCTCCGTTGCACCTGCACCCGAAGAGGAGATGCGGCTCGGAGATGGAAGGGCTTAAGGTTTAGGGCCTAAATACGCTTTAAAATCGGGTTTACAGAAGGTAGAAGTCCCAACACCCAGACCAAAACCCCTTTTCTGGGAATCAGCTTTCTTCGTTCAAGTCTCTTTCAAACTCCAGTGATACTCGTAGATTCCAGTGGCAAGGAACCGCTCTCCTGACAACTTGAATCTTGGCGTTGCCGGTAGGGCTTCTGTGTGTAGGGGATGCGATGATGCCTTGTGTGCTTGTCTTCTGCATCTGCATCACCACCACTTGTCTCTGGTGCGCGGTGCCCGGGCGCACGACACGATCAAGGATTTGGGGATATGTCGAGTTTCCCGAAGAAGGTCTTCCTCAATCTATAGAACCGTCAAAAGTGGAGAAACCGTATGGCTTTTAACGCAGCCGAGGCCGGTCAATGGCAGAATAGAAGCATTGAAGGCCTCGATGGCTTTCGTGGCAGTAGTTGCAGTGGAGACTTGGCTCACTTGGCTTAGGGTACATTGCGGGCACCAGGGACGCTACTCGCTGTACTGGGCGGTCTGCCAGCGTGCCATCGAGCGCTAAGTCCAAACTCGCATTTTTGTATTGAGCTGGCACTTCCCGTGCCCAGGAAGCCGTCTATTTCGTATTCATCCTCGATGAGCGGAAGAAGTTTGGCGAAGCTAGCTGCGCCGGCGTTGCTGCCGTTGCCTTGAGGTTACGCCTCGACAGGGTTCAACGGTTCACAGTTCAGCGCTTCAGTTCGGAATGGTCGGGAGAGGCTGGTGTTGAGGTGGAGTGGAGCTTCATGAGGATCACGTACCCACACATGCACACACGCACACACGCACGCGCACGCGCTCACCCACACATGCGCACACGCACACCGGCACACAGGCACACAGGCACACAGGCACACAGGCACACAGGCACACAGGCACACAGGCACAC